TCAAAGTCATAGTTCATATGTAATAAAAGGCTCCTTTGCTTGATCTCGTCTTCTGCGTTTTCCTGAGGACCTCATAGCAGTTAGGGATAGAATGGCTCGGGAGGGATAAGATTTGTGGCTCCAGGAGGCTGGATTCCTGTCATCTGTTGCCAACACAACTGTCTCTTGACATCTCACATCCGGGCCACAAGTCACCATCCATGGGACCCCTTTGCTTTCATAGGGCATCTTAGGCACACACTGTTATTAGGTGGAAGTGGCTGGGTTGACACTATTTCCTGTCTGTTACCTTGAGTTCTTACTCTGGAAATCAGTCTTGGAGCTTTCTGTCAGCAGCACTTCCGGTCCTCTGAACCACAGCTCAGAGTATTAAGCAGAGGCACCTATGGGTTCCCTGGAGCACAGACTCTGTCCACACTCAGGCTGCCCACGTCCAGGCTCAGGAGAATTGAAATACAGACAGAAGGCCTGAGAGAATATCTTCTCTGGGGCAGCCTCAGGACCAGCCCTGAGGCTGAAGCCTGGGATCTCATGGTCCCTTGGATATGGGGCCTTTTGTAGGGGTCTCTGGGAGGCCAGTCACACAGGCTCTGGGGATTCAGAACCCGACACTGGTCCGGCCTTCCCGCCTCCAGAATGCTGAAATCTGCTCCAGGGTGACCCGAGGCTGGAGTCCCCAGTCAGGCTCAGGGCTCCCTGGCCTCTGCCTCCAGGCCTTAGGGCTCCCCAACTGCATGCTGACCTCTGACCTCAGCTCAGGCTCAGCCCAACTCACCAGGCCCGTGGCATGGGGCCTCTCTTCCTGGGACTGGGGCCCCCAGAAGGTGCTTTGGGCTGGGACCTCAGGTGGGGTCTGGAGAACCAAGGAACTGGGAGCAGAGTGGGGGGCTAAAGGGGCAAGTGGGGCGCTTGCTTGGGCCTCCAAAGTGCCCCCAGGGGTGGGAGGGTCTGGGGCCCTGCACGACAGCAGGGGGACTGCTGCTCCATACCAGTCCTCAGAGCGCTCTCTGGCAGTGCCTGTAGGCTCAATCCACAGCTCCCCTCCGGGGCGCCAGACCAGGGTGGGTGCGTGGTGGGTCCCAGGGTCTGCGCGGAGAGAGCGGCGGAACAGGCGTTCGGCCAACACGGCTGTAGTCAGGATGAAGAAGGCGGCGAGGGAGGCCAGGGCCAGCATGATGGGGATGCAGGGGCCACAGGGCAGCGGAGGCCACAAGGCTGTCTCGGATGCACTGGGTGCCTCCATGTGCTCAGATGGCTGCCCACGAGTTGCAGGCATCTGGAGACCCAGAGGTGAGAAGAGGGAGCAAGTAAGGCCACGTCAGCACAATCAAGAGGTGGACAGGGGCACAGTGTCCAGGAAACAACAACGGACAAGGCAAAGGGGACTCGGGATCCAGCTCGCAGACAGAGGGACAAAGGGAACCCAAAGGGGACAAGAACAAGCCGGGGGGCCAGAGGACAGGCAGACCTCCTCCTGCAGGCCCTCCAGTCCCTTTCTGGAAGCCCCATTTCCTCCCAGACAAAAGCTCAGGGCCACAAGGGCTTCTTTCCTAGGCCCCTCGGGTCCTCTGGCCTAGAGAGGAAGTAGTAGGAGAGGAAATGAGAGAACCTCCCTCCCTCCCGGCCCCTTCCCCTGCATGGGCACCCCCTCTCTGGCTGTCGCTGCTGCGGCCACCTCAGTGCTCCTTTACTGAGTCACCTCCCACCTTGAAGGTGGTCTCATCTCAGGGCTCCACCATATTTGCTGCTGTGCCAGGTCTCTGGTGACACCTCTGCACCTGTCCCAGCCTCTCCAGCTGCGCTCTCTGGGGCCTGTCCCTACCTCCCTTGTTTGTCTCTGCCTGCTTTTCTCTCGACCCCAGGTCCTCCCTCTGGGGGGGCCTCCTGCACCCCTCATCTCACCTCCTCGGGTCAGCCCTGGGCTCCTCTTCCTCTCTTCAGAGCCGCTCTGCCTTTCGCATGCCTCCGGTTGGTGCTCAGCGGTTGTTGAAAGGCCTGAAGGCACAGAGAGGGCTGGCCTCACATAAGGGCGGAAGGGAGGCCACCACCTGTTGCTGGGCAACTGTGACCCAACTCCTCCAGCCCCGGTGGAGTGTTGCCAAGGCAACCTGAGGGGATGTGGTCACTGCGGCAAGAAGGCGTTTCCTGGTAAGGTGGGGCGGGAGTGGGCAGTGGCTCTGTTGAACTCAGTGTCACCTCAGAGCCAGCCCCCAGCCCCCAGAACGTTCACGCAGAGGCCAGGAAATAGGATGTGGAGATTCTGGCCATTCTACTCCCAGAGCACCATGGTGTATCCTCTGTTGGCCCCTGGGAGGCTGCCCCATCCCTGTCCTGCCCACTGGCCTCTACAAAACTGCTCCTGCCATCTGGCCCCCTACCCCCCTCATGCCTGTCTAGCCCATCTGCCTTCCCACTTTTAATTAACACAACTCTCCTTGTTTTCAGACCATTTAACCTCAATTTTGGTTGGAAAATATCTGTGAGGTGGGACTTGAGTAGTAACAGTGTCAGGACTCTGGGAAAGATTGAGAGCATAAAAATAGGCGTAGGCCTGTGTCTCGGGCCCCAGCCTTCTGCCATCTCTGCTCCTTTCTCCTGGTGCTAATGGTCAGAGCAGACTGCAGCACAGTGTGATGGAGTATAATGGGAGTGTGGAGTCCAGGAATCTTCCAGAGATTTCTGACTCACTCATCAACAGATGACAAAAGGCCTAAAAAAGGGAGGTGACATACCCAAAGTCACACAAGCCACATGCTTTTGTGTGGGTGTGTGGGGTGGGGGTGGTAGGGCTGGTGAGCTGGAGGGGGAGCACAGTTATAAATACCTGGTCTGACAAGCTCCTTGCACACAACACGGCTCATTAGGCAGCCATATTTTGTTTTGCAAAGTCACAACCAATTAATATGAAAGGCTACAAGAACAAGTTGATGTGTTAGTGTCCTTGCAAAGAAGGTGCAAGGGCAGCCTGGTTCAAGACAGTTCTGTTGGTGGCTTTGAGGAAGGGGACAGGAAGAGAACAGGGCACTGTGGGGGTGGGGGGAGTGGTGGAAGTGGAGGATCCCAGGACTCTGAGCCTTAGGACACCTGCAGAAACCTGATGGGATTAGACTTTGATGAGATTACCAGCCTTAAAATAAAACTTAGACTTAACACCACTGACCTGTACACTTGACATAGTTAAGACAGTTAAGTTTTATGTTTATATTTTAATCTAAATAAGCAAATAAATAAAACATAGAAATTAAGTGTGCTCTCTTTTAATTAATCTTTCTAACAACAACAAAAACAAAAAAGACAAGGGCTAGGGAAGTAGCTCAGTGGCAGAGTGCATGAGGCCCTGGATTTGATCCTTAGGACAGCGGGGTTGGAGGGGGGTGGGGAGACAAGACTTTAGATAAGTAAACATTAAAAATCAGGATGATTAGACATGGCAGGATTTTTCTGCTACTATCAAACTGGCTATTCTTTTTTTTTTCCTTGTTATAGGGATTGAACCCAGAGATGCTTTACCACTGAGCTACATCGCCAACCTATTTTATTTTTCATTTTGAGACAGGATCTTGCTAATTTGCTGAGGCTAGCCTTGAACTTGTGATCTTCCTGTCTCAGCCTTCTCGGGTCACTGGGATTACAGGCAGGCACCACTGTGCCTGGAAGCTGTTTTGATTCTTATTTTTTGTTGTTTAAAAAAAAAAAAAAACAATTTAGCATACCTGTAAGCCCAGTGACTAGGGAGATGGAGGCAGGAGGATCATAAATTCAAGGTCAGCTCAGCAACTTGGCAAGACCCTCAGCAACTTACTAATACCCGTATCAATATAGAAAATATTTTTTAAAAAGGACTAGGGATGTAGCTCAGTGGTAAAGCACCTCTGGTTTCACCCCCAACTTTGCCTCCCCACAAACAAAGCTTAAGAAATTTTAACTGATTTCTCAAAAAATGAAAAACAGAATTATTTTATCCACCTCTATATATGTACCCCAAAGAACTGAGAGCAGAGATGTGAATAGTTATTTCTGGACTCATGCTCATAGCAGCATCATTCACAATAGCCTTAAAGGGGAAGCCACCCCAAATGTTCATTGGCTGTTGAATGGTCTATATATACAATGGAATATTATTCAGCTTTTAAAAGGAATTCTAACATATGCTACAACACAGATGAACCTGGAACATGTTATGCTAAGTAAAATAAACTGGTTACAAAAGGATATATACTGTAGAATTCCATTTTGCCTAGAATGGTCAAAAATCAGACAGAAATTAGGATGCTTGTGGGGAGTTAGTGTTTAATAGGTACAGACTTTCAGTATGAAAAGATGAAAGAGGGACTGTGGTTGTAGCACAGTGGGGGAGCACTTGCCTAGCACTTGTGAGGCACTGGGTTTTATCCTCAGCACCATATAAAAAATAAATGAATAAATAAAGTATTTTTTAAAAAGATGAAAAAGTTCTGGAGATGGATAATGGTGATAGTTGTACTGCACTGTCAATGTACTTAATTCCTCTAAACTGTACACTTAGGGTTAAAATGGGGCTGGGGGTTTGGCTCAGTGATAGAGGCTTGACTAGCATGTGCAAGGCCATGGGTTTCATCCCCAGCACTGCAAAAAAATTTGAAAAAGTGGTAAGTTTTATGCTATATTTACTTTACCACAATATTTTAAACTTATATTTTATATGAAAAAAAATATATATATTATAATTTATTTATTTAGGGATTGAACCCTGGGGGACTTTACCACCGAGCTACATCCCCAGCTCATTTATTTATTTATTTATTTAGAGACAGGATCTTGCTAATTTTCTTAGGGCCTCATTAAATTGCTGAGGCTGGACTCAAAACTCGCAATCCTCCTGCCTTGGCCTATTGAGTCGCTGGGATTATAGTCTTATGCCACAGTGCCTATCTAAACTAATATTATAGAAAATTAAACTGTGAAGAAGGAAATTATTCCCCACAGTCTACTCTCTTGCAATAACCTTTTCTTTTTTATAGGTTTGTGCAGGATGGAGAATCAGAATCCAGGTGTCCTGGCCTCAGGCTCCTCCCACTCTACTATGCAAGAATTTCTGAAAAAAGGAATCAGGATGTTACTCAAGGAGTATGTGCAATAGAGAAGTCTCTGCATCAGAGGCCTAGAAAATAGGCACTTGGGGGTAACTCTGGACAAGTGGCTGCTCCTGGGGCCAGGTGTTCAGGAAGGAGCACAGAAAAATTTCTTAATTGACTGCAGAGCTGGTTTGTGATTTTCCATGTGCTTGCTATTTACTGACTTACTGAAGGTTTAAGTAGGAAGAGGCTCATTGTACCCCAAAACAGTGAAGCTCCTTAGAGTTCTGTGCTTGGTGCTCTTCACTCCCAGGTCTATGTGGAGGTTTTAAAATGTGGTTTGCAAATTCTTTCTCCCTGTTTTCCCCCCCCACCCCCAGTACCAGGGATTGAACCTAGAGGTGGTACCACTGAGCTCCATCTCCAGCCCTTTTTATTTTTTATTTTGAGACAAGTTCTCGCCAAGTTGCCCTGGCTGGCCTCTAACTTGAGCTCCTCATGCCTTGGCGTCTTGAATTACTGGAATCACTGATGTGCACCACAACAAATTCTTTAACACTCCTATCAACAAAGGCTGAAATTGGACATGGTGGTACACACCTATAGTCCCAGCTGCTCAGGAGGCTGAGGCGGCAGGAGGATCTTTTAAGACTAGGAGTTTGGGGCCAGATCCCATCTCAATTTAAAAAAAAAAAAAAGTTGAGTTTTTAAGTTCTCTCTTCTTGAATATGGGCTGACCTTAGTGGCTGATTTCTTTTCTTTTCTTCTCTCTCTCTCTCTTTCAGATGAGGAAATTTTGATTTGCAGCTCATAGTCCATTGTTGGCTGACTTCATTGCTCTGGGATGGAAGTGAGGCAGATCATGATGGAAGTTGTGAAGGAGGAAATCAGCTCAGGATATGGAAACAAGGAAGCAGGGAGCCTTCATGCTGATATCCAATGGACAGGATGCAGCAGAAGTGACACGGCATGACTTCTGAGACTAATTAAAATTTTAAAAAAAGGATAGAGCTGCAACCTGGTACTCCCACTCCACTCACCCTTGGAACTCAGCCACCATGTTGTGAGGAAGCCCAAGACATATATAGGTGCCTTGGCTAAAGTCCCAGATAAGGTCCCAATCAATAACCAACATCCACTACCAAACACGTAAATGGGCAAGTCTTCAGATGACTCTAGCCCCAGGATTTGAGCCACCTCAGCTGATATCAAGCAAAGCAGAGATGAGCTACCTGCCTGGAGCCCTGCCCAAAACACAGACTGAGGAAAAGAAATATTGCTATCTTAGGGAATTATGTTTTGGGGTGGTTTGTGACATAGAAATAGAAAACTGGCACACTTGACTTCAAGGGTTCTCACCAGGTGGGTTAAGGGCAGTAGTCCTGTATCACATGTGAGATCTTCTCAAGGGTTCACACTTAATTCCAATGTCCCCCCACCCTGTCTTGCTAGATTCTTACACCACTTTAGGGTATGAATTGGGTAGGCTGGGGAGAAATATAACAGCAACAACAGTGGAGTTGCAACAGAAATTTTGTAGAAGATTAAAAAATGCCCTCTCCATAATTGAGGTCCACTAGATCTGCTCAGTCTAATACAGTGGCCATCAGACATATGTGGTTCTTTTTATTTATTTATTTTTTAGTTTTCAGTGGACACAACATCTTTGTTTGTATGTGGTGCTGAGGATCGAACTCAGGCCACACGCATGCCAGGCGAGCGCGCTACCGCTTGAGCCACATCCCAGCCCCCATATGTGGTTCTTTAAATTAAAATTTATTAAAATAAAATAAAAATTGAGTTTCCTGGTCTCATCACACACACATATGTGGGTTTGTTGTTGTTGTTGTTTTGTTTTTTTTTGGTACTGGGTATACTGAGTATTGAACCAAGGGCAGTTTACCACTTTATATCTCCAGTCCTTTTTATTTTTTATTCTGAGACAGGGTTTCACTTAGTTGCTGAATCTGGTCTCAGACTTGCTATCCTCCTGTCTCAGCCTCCTAAGTCACTGGAATTACAGTTGTGTATCATCATGCCCAGCTTCAATGTTTACATCTCAAATGTTTAACAGGTACATGCAGCTAGTGGCCACCATCTGAGACAGCATAGGTACAGAATGTTTCCATCATTACAGAAAGTTCTATCAGGCAGTGAGGTTGGGTAGAATCTCACTATCCTGTCAACTGTGGACGCACACACCTATAATCTCAGAGACTCAGGAGGCTAAGGTAGGAGGATTGTAAGTCTGATGCCAGTTTCAGCAACTTAATGAGGACCTCAGTAACTTAGCAGGATGCTGTCTCAAAATAAGAAGGAACTGGAGATGTTGTTCAGTGGTAAAGTGCCCTGGGTTCAATCTCCAATAAATAGCCACCCCCCACCAAAAAAAGACTCATCTAAAACATCATGCCTTTAGAAGTTTTCCATGACTTCTCTAAAGATGGAAAAGCTACAAAGTTCTCTCTGTGATGGGCAGAAAGGCTACGGCAGGGAAGCCTTCCAGGAATAAGTGATGTTTGACTATTCACCCAGGATCTCCTAAGGAATGACTCCACTCTGGGCTTGATTCCAAGAAAAATCATCAGGAACCACCAGGATGAATTGGCCAGGTTTTCCAAAAAAATGCAGCAATGCCAAGTTCACTAGCAGATACATCATACTGGAAGTGAAGCTTTTTTTTAATATATATATTTTAGTTTTAAGTGGACACAATATCTTCATTTTACATTTATGTGGTGCTGAGGATTGAACTCAGTGCCTCAAGCATGCTAGGCAAGCACTCTACCACTGAACCACAACCCCAGCCCCTGGAAGTGAAGCTTGATACCTAATTTTCAGGAAGAGGAGCCAACATGGGTTGGAGCATGTGTGCAGATGAGTGTGCTCCCATCTCTGTGTGTGCACATGCTTATGCTTGTGTGTGCCTGGGGTATCAGAATCCCTGATGATGCCAACTGATTGGAGCTACAATTGGGGGTAACAGTGGTTATGCTCTGGAAAGAAGACTGGCTACTTTCAGATATAGATCCCTGCCTTAAGGACGCCCTACTTGCTGGGAAAAGCATACACTGTCAATCCTACATTGAGTTGAAAACATTTTACTTACAAATCAAATTATAAATCTAAGGTGGGTACAGGGGCACAGGCCTGTAATCCCAGCAACTCAGGAGGAGGCCTACAAGTTCAAGGTCAGCCTCAACAACTTAGCAAGGCCTTAAGCAACTTAGTGAGACTCTATCTCAAAAAATAAAAAGAGTTGGGGATGTAGCTCAGGGGTAAATCACCCCTGGGTTCAATCCCTGGTGCCCCCCCCCCCCCATGCTAGGCACTAGGATTCAACAGTGAACAGTGAACAGTCAGAGATGGTTCTGTGGAGTTTGGTTGGGGGAGACAAACAAGGAACCAAGCAATCATAATCTAGTATATTGAGCCCTAGAAACAACTACAGCCCAGGCCCCTACTGGTCTCAGCATATCTTAATTATTTGCCACTTCGGTGTATGTAGAATTTTTAGGAAAGCTTCCTTGACAAATCTATCTGACGTAAGCAGACAGAGGAAGGGAGGAAGCAGGCTCTTCCAACAGAGCAGCCTCTCTGGGGGGAACAGGTGTTTTGCAAACTTGGGGATCACAATTCTGGTCTCTGTCCTCTCTAATCAGAAGGTCCAGATGATCACAGGTCCAGTGATGTAGTCTTCAGAGGAACAGAGATTTGGGGGGTTGGGACCCCTTGAGGTTTGGCTTGCATTCAGCCTGCAGGGCTGGCTGACTGACCCTAGTAACCTCCCTTGCTTTGGCTTGGATCCTGCCTTCCCAGTCTGGCCACCCCACACCTTCATAGTCCTCTGCAGATAGATGTAAGCTGAAAACTGAAGCTCATGAACCCTATCAGGAGACAATAGGACCCGAGACCTGCCCCCCAAGAAAGAAGCAATCAATTGAGCTGAGTATGTGTAGGTACACCCTACTCACATGGCCACACTCTGTGCCATTGTCCCACTTGGAGAGTCACTGAGGGCTGCTGCAGATTGAAACTTTCAGTGGCCAGCATCTAGCCCACCCTTCTGCTGCAGAACTGTCCATGAGGTGTTCCCAGGAGCAAGAAGGCCCAAGGGACTACTGCATCCTTCCCAGACTCCTATGCACAAAGGGCCTGACCATACTCAGGCTCTTAGCCTGATTTTGGTGGAGACAGATGCTCTCAAGAAAAACCCTTTACAACTCTGTTAGTCAGCTTTTCATCGCTGTGACCAAAACATCTGGTAAGAACAATTTACAGGAGGAAAGATTTATTTTGGTTCGTGGTTTCGAGGATTCGGTCCATGGTTGTCTGACTCCGCGGCAGAGAGGCATTATGGCAGAAGGGCAGAAGAAAGCTGCTCGGCTCATGGCAGCCAGGAAGTGGGTAAGAAGAGGCTGGGGTGCATCCTCAGTGACCTACTTCTTCCAATGTGTCCCCCGCCCCCTAGTAGTCCATTCAGATATCAATGGATTAATCTGACAATGAAGTCAGAGCCCTCATAATCTGATCATTACCTAAATGCCTCACCTCTGAATCTTGCTGCACAGGGGACGATGCTTTCACCACAGAAGCTTTTGGAGGACATTTCAGATCCAAACCATATCAACAACCTACCTGGTCATCACTGCCCCCATTTCTCAGGAAGTTTTACTCTCTCCATAGACAATAGTCACCTAAGATCCAACTGGGAAACCTATGTAACCTGGCTCTCAAGGACTCGTTCATCTGAATTCTGTTCATTCCGATGCCAAGCAGATATCAAGTGGATCCTGAAGACATACATTATGCCACTGCTGGACCTTCTATATGCAGCAGGACTGGGGTGGTCGAATTTTTTGTTATTGATTCTCTTGGGCAATAACTCGCCATAAAATTCACCCTTCAAAAGTGAATTTGGGCTTTTACAACTCGGGCTGGGGTTGTGACTCAGTGGTAGAGTGTTTGCCTAGCATGTGGGAGGCACTGGGTTTGATTCTCAGTGTCGCGACCCCTTGCCCGCAAGGAAGACGCAACTCAGGAATCTTCTTTCAGCAGTTTATTCAGGCCCTTGATATTTCTTCTTCTTTCTCTTGGATGCCCCTCCCAGCCTTAATAAAGCATCCCAAGCCCCAATGCAAAGCTGCCGCGTGGAGCTTTCTCACAGGGTGGTGAAAAATCATGTGCCAACTTTCCCAGATAAGAAGTTGTTTGTCACAGACCACAGTGGAGCCAGCGTCATCTTGTAATGGCGACCATAGTCTGCAGAAACAGCAGAAGCGGCTCACCACAGTTCCCCCTTTTCTGTTTTCTTAAAACAATACAGGCGAGAGTAGAGGTCCTATCCCACTGTGCAGAAGTGGCTGCATAGTATGACTTAGTCCTAAGGAGGCGCCTTCCCCAGATCTGAAGCCATATCAGCCGACGCCTTTTTTCGTGGGGCGGGGCGTGGACGCGTCTAACCCGCATGCAATAGGACATGCTCTCCTTGAGGTCCACGTCAAGGATCACTCAAGTGCAGTGCCTTGCCTCGCATCCTGTATCGTGACGATGGTGGACGAAGGGGGATAGCTGAGGCTGAACTGTGGCTGCTTATAAGGACAAACAAGTTGACAGCACCCTGAAAGAAAGGCACAGACTTCAAGGCGATAGAAAAGTACTAGTGTGGAAACCCATCTGCGTGCAATGGCAGTAAGACCGGCAGAGTGCAAGGGCTTTCCAACACTAAGAGAATAACAAGGAAAGTCATGTCGATCCCAGTGCAATGTTATAATAACTTGGGGTGTAACGACCATGACAAAGGTTTACTGCTTAAGATGCGCAAGCCAGACTTGAGGCGAGTTGCCATTTTCTAAAGCTGCAAGAGCTTGTATGATCATAGCCTTTTCTTGTGCATGGCGAGTTTTAAGGCGACAGAGAAGCCACAAACAGAGTACAACACTGAAGCAACACATTGCACCAAAAATGCCTACTCCCACCCACTCTTTGAAGAAGGAAAAAGCAGAAGATATCCAATCGGTGAATTGACCCAAAGTCACTGGTTCGACACGGGTACTGTTCAAGACAGCTATCTGGGTTAGTTGAGACTGGATCATGTTTTCTGCTTCCATGGACCAGGTTCCGGATGGATACTCCCCGATGATGTGGGAGGCATTTCTGGAATCATAAAATCTGACAGAGGTTATGCATAAATGTGCACGTTGATCAATACAACCCAAATGTACTAGATCAGACAATTCCTCAACTTGAGCTTGAAGTAGATCTATCCTTTGATTAGCAGCCAGAATCCCAGATAAAATGTGTTGATTAATTCTACTTTGAGATTCAAGTATGGTGGATGTTTGTTGAATAACCTGATTAATAGTGGCAGCAGTTTGTACCTGGCTGGCCATGGCTACTCCAGCTGTAACTGCTGCAGCAGCAGATACCGCCACAGCTGTCACTATGGCTGCCGTAATTCCAAAATCTCTACGGGCTCTAATCAGTTCAACAATAGGAAATGACTCTGGATCTGAAGTAACCGGGATCGGGACAAAGGTTGGAAATTTCATAACCATTGCCGTAGTCCAGGAGCCATTCCAACACTCAGACAAATAACAGGTAATATTAGAACAATTAAGCATCCCCTGTGATGTAACATTAGCCAAAAGAAACAGGAACGGAGATTGGAGACGGACTGCTGCGGAGGGTAATGTAGCATTAGATAATTGTGAATTATTTGCAGAAATTTTAATTAAGCCTCCTACCTCGCTCCGAGTCTTGGGTACTGCCAGAAACATTAAACAGCC